TGAAAAGGCAGGCTGGCCGATGCGCACTAGGCGCGCTCTGCCTGCACATGTGGCCCCGACTATGCTGCTGTGTTAGTTAACAAGTTGAGGAGGTTCTCGAAGTGTTCATCTCAGCGATCGAGTGTCGGAAGCATACCTCCAAAATTCAACTCGAAAGGGAGAATTTTCCTCGACTTCTACGTTGCCTTAAAGCACCTGTCTTTTCGCGCCTACTCTCTCTCCACGACAAGGAGGGGCGACGTTCAGCTGCCTGATCAGCGGCATACGTGATCGTGAACTTGCACTCATTTTCACGAGTCACCTCCTGACCATCGCAGAGGAGGCTCTCGAGTTGGATGCGACGCGACGCACCCAATTACCTCTGACGCAAAAAGCACGGGCCGTCATACCGGCAACTAAGTGGGGCCAACCGCCGGTCCTACCGGGTCCATCACTACCGTTCTATGCCAATCCCAACTTCAACAGGCAACGACAGGGAACCCCAGCCATTCGACAGAACACGGATTTCTATTACTGCGTGCGTTACGGCAGAGCCGTCAGAACATGTGGCCACAATGCAGGTAAACGTATCTTGCCCCTTACAGCTGTATTTACACTTTCCTCCATCTTTAAACCATTAACAGTCTTGGGTAAGATGGGGCATAAGAAAGTCAGCATTTTATTAGGCATAGGGGCAGCCCTCTCCTTGATACACGATAGTCTCCTTAACGGTACGTCCTACGAACACTCAGAATTTTCCCAACTACGGATCCTCACCGTCGAGTAAATGCATTTTCACACTCGGTTGTCTACCGGAATGTTCGCGATTTCTCCATGAGTCTGATGAGGGGGAAAACAAGGCGGGCATATGATGGGATGAAGGCCCTTTAGTAGCCTGCCGGGCCGAGGAATGAGCGGACCTCGTTTCCGTTGGGTGGTTTTAGCCAATCTGTAACGACCTGGACTTTATCGGGGTCAGTCCTGAGGCTCTGGCTGTCAATGATGTGGCAGAGGAATTGAATTTCTGTCTGAAGAAATTTGCGTTTTCTTGGATTTAGTGTCAAACCTTCGTCTTGATATCTCGTCAGCACCCCTGACAAGGTGTTGAGGAGTTCTAGAACGGTGGCTCCCCACACGATTACGTCGTCCAAGTACACGAGGCAGTTAGATAGGTATATGTTTTGCAATATTTTCTGCATAAGCCGTTGGCATGTCGCTGCCGCGTTAGCCAAACCCATGGGTAACGTGTTGAACTCAAATAGTCCTGATTGTAGGGTAGAGGCGGTCTTGGCTCGATCTTCCGGGTGTACTTCAATCTGCCAATAGCTTGAAGACAGATCGAGGGTTGTGAAGAATTTATTCCCGGACATAGATGCTAGGAGATCGTCCATGCGGGGAAGGGGAAAGGAGTCTCTGACGGTGACTGAATTCAGTCGCCTGTAGTCGACGCAGAGCCGCAGAGAATTATCTTTCTTCTTAACCAGAGTTGCCGGCGCTGCCCATGAGGAAGAGGATGGTTGTATAATACCTTGTTGGAGCATGTTCTCCACCAAGTTATCCAGTTCAGCCCTGAAGTGAAACGGTATTCGTCGGGGCGGGAGGTGTTGCGGAGGGGCGGTGCCGGTGTTTATTCGGTGCTCCACGCTGTTGGTCCGTCCGATGGCCTGGTCTGCCCATGTGAAAACGGAGCTGAACGGCACCAAAGCGTGGTAGAGGGCCCGACTATCGGCTATAGGAATGTTGTCTGGTATTATTTTTTCGATTGAAGAGGGGTCGACGGGTGGGGCTGTGGAGACTTCGACACTGTTTACCTCCATGATAACTGGGTCGTCCTCGAGGAGAATGAGTGATTGAGCTGTGGGGGAGAAGGTAATGGTTTGGGCGTTTCG